AAATTGGCTTTGCTTTTTCAACACTGAAAAGAACTTAAAATTTTTCTTCGAAGATTTAGAAATAAACCTTCCCAACGCTGCTATCCTACATGTCAACCTCTACACCTCTTTTTTGCTCGTGAGTATATCCGGTATTTCTTCAATGGCTTTAATCTGTGCTGGATTTACTTCAGTTCCTCGGTTAGAAACAAGGAAATCTAAAAACTTACTTGAAGACACGCCAAATGCACACTTTTTGGAATTTAACTTCATATTGAATTTGCGGAGAATCTGAAATGTATCTGACAAATGTTGGATGTGATCCCCTGCTTGTGTTGACTTGACTAGCATGTCATCGATATAGACTTCCATTATTTTCCCCTGATGTTCTCGAAACATCTCCGTTACTGACCTCTGGTACGTGGCTCCAAAATTCTTTAGGCCGAAAGGCATGACTTTATAACAGTAAGTCCCCCTGTCTGTAATAAAGGAAGTTTTTTCCTCATCTAAAGGATCCATTTTTATTTGATTATATCCTGAATAGGCATCTAAAAAACACAACAATTGATGTCCTGCGGTAGCATCAATTAGTTGATCTATGCGTGGTAAAGGAAAAGAATCTTTAGGTCAAGCTTTATTCAAATCAGTATAATCTACACAAACTCGCCACTTACCATTCTTTTTGGGCACCACTATAGTATTAGCTAGCCAATTAGGATATTTTACCTCTCGGATAGACCTGATTTTTAAAAGCTTTTGTACCTCATCCTGAATCACCTGGTTTTGAAAGATCCTTGCTTCCTTTTCTTCTGTTTAATAGGTGAATATGTTGGATCTTAATTCAGCTTATGGGTTATCACCTCCGGTGGTATACCTGTCATATCTAAATGCGACCAAGCAAAGCAATATGCGTTTGCTTTTAAGAAATCAATTAACTTACCCTTCATCTCTGGGCTCAGGTTGGTTCCGATGTAAACTTTTCTGTCCGGCCAAAGTACAAACAGTACCACAGCTTCGAGTTCCTCAATTGTTGTTTTGATGTTTTCGTTCTCTTCTGGCTCTTGAATAGTATTAGGCCTTGAGTCTACATCCGTTTGTCCATCTCCAGTTGAGGTTTGTGTTGTTAAATCCTCAACTGAATTATGTAACTGCTATTTTTCGTATGCAACGTCATTTTTTATGCTTGAATTTTCCACTGAATTGATACTTCTAGAAGCCCGTTGATCACCACGGATTTGTCTAATTACCCATTGCGAAGGGAACTTAATGACCTGATATAAAGTAGACGGAACAGCATCCACCTCGTGAATCCAAGGTCTGCCGAGGATCATATTGTACGACATGTCCATATCTATCGCTTGAAAATTCGTATCTTTGACTACTCCTTCTGTGAATATGGTGAGCACTATCTCTCCTTTTGTAACAACGCTTGAATTATCAAATCCAGATAAGGTGCGTGCTTTGGGTACCAATTTGTCATCAACTTGCATCTCTTTTAACACTCTTAAAAGAATGATATTTACAGAGCTACCTGGATCAATCAAAACTCGTTTCACATTAGTATCATGTACAAGTAAAGATATTACCAGTGCATCATTGTGTGGGACCATCATGCCATCTGCGTCTGTATCATCAAATGTTATACAGTCTTCTTCCAAAACTTGGCGAACTCGCTTTCTGTGGGTAACTGTAACTTTTGACACCTTTTTTGCAGTCGTATATGTCACACTGTTGACCCCCTCTCCTCCGCTTATCACGTTAACCGTTCTTTTCGGTGACGGAGGTTTTGGTGGCTCCTGTTTATTCTTCATATATGCTTGCTTACCCTTCTCACTAAAAAAATCGGTTAAATAACCTTGTTTTAACAAGTGCTCTACTTCACCTTGTAGCAATCTGCAATCTGATGTTTTATGAACATGATCATTATGAAACTCGCACCAGAAATCTGGGTTTCTTTTGCTGGGGTTCGATCTCATTTCTTTTGGCCACCGCACCTTGTCTCCCATGCTTCTTAAAACAACTACCAACTAAGATGTGCTAACATTGAAACTGTAACCACCAACTTTGCTTTTGTACTAATGTTGATGTCCCGCGTATCTCGCTCTTTTCCAAACTTGGATGACGAACCCGCATCTCTGTCCCTTGATTTGGAATCGTACCTCGGGTTCTCCTGTTTAGAACGTGAACCCCTTCCTACTGGTCCCATGAAAGGTTCGTACCTGTTCTTACCGGACCTTTTTTCAGTTTCTGGTTGCCTCAAACTTATTCTTTCGTCTTCCCGTGACTGAATGATAGTATCTTCTTCTATCCGCAGCTTCGTGCAATACCTGTTGTAAACATCATTCCAAGTTGTTGCAGGGAATTCTCGTAAACTTTCTTTTAGTCTCCTCGTGGCTTCTGAGCTTTTTTCATTTAAGTTACTTGCAAACACCATGGCCGCCCAATTATCCGATACATGCGGTAGCATCATCCTTTCACGCTAAAATTTATCCACAAATTCCCTGAGTAGCTCCATATCTCCTTGTTTTATTTTGAAGATGTCTTCCATCCTCTATTCAACTTTTTGAGCTCCCGAGTGTGCTTTTATAATTGAATCTGCAAGCTCAGCAAAATAATCAATAGAATTTTCTGGTAAAAGAGAATACCATGTCAGTGCTCCTTTAGTGAGTGTTTCGCCAAATTCTTTGACCAGCACCGACTCGATTTCTTGTTTGGTCAAGTCGTTGCCGTTCACGCCAGTTGTAAATGCAGTTACATGATCTCGTGGGTCAGTCGTCCCATTATATTTCGGAATATCGGGAATCTTAAATTTTTTTTTGGAATAGGCAAGGGAGCGGCACTTGGCTTCCAAGGCTGTTGAGAATATTTATCAATATCCACTCCTTTAATCACGGGTGGCACACCAGGTATCTACTCTATGCGATTGTTCTGCTCCTTGAGTTATTTCTGCAAAGTTGGTACTAAACTTTGTAAATCAGAATTATTTGGAATACCGGACCTTCCATCGCGAGACTCGCTGGGAGTTCTTCCACTGCCTGAATTAGTAAGTCCCGAGCGTGGATTCTCTATGGTTGCGGTGTTATTTGGAGGTGGAGTTGGTGGTACAGTTGGCAACCCACTAACAAAAGCTTGAAGAGCATTGTTGACGTGTTCTGCAATTAGTTGCTTCAATGCATCTTCAGCAGTTTGATCTTCCCCTTGTTGGTCATTCACATGTGATGTTGATCTGTCAGGTGACCCTTCTTGGGACTGTTGAGGAGATTTTTGGGGTGAGGGGATTGGAGTTTCATTCTCTTGTTGATTCTGTTGGTTCAGCTGATTTTGCTGGTTTTGTTGGTTGTTGTCGTTAGCGGTCGACATGATTTTTTGAGAGAAAAATGAATTTGGATAGTGAAAAGATTATCAGATTTACCGGTGACGGAACCAATTTGTTTAACCAAAGAATTAGATTTTCAGTCAAAGCCTATTTTAAGAAGTACTCGGGCTACTGATAATCAAGAAATTCTATATTCTCTCAGTGATAAGAAAGGAAATTAGAATGTGAAATAGCAAAGTGATCAATAGAAAGCAAAAGAAAGTAATTATATTCCAATAATAATCAGAACGTGCCTTTACAAGTGGAATCCTCTTCCCTTATATAGGAATCTATAAGTACAACGTTTCTTCTCTTTTATGGCTGAATCATTATGAACATTAATTATATTAATGAGACGTTATAATTGGCAATCGTAACTGTTCATGGAGATTCTATAACGTCTATGATCATTCAAGCTCATTAATTGACGATTCATGAATCTTCCTTCTTTACTGTCTTGATTCATTTGTCGGTGTCTCTTCATATAGCAATTCAGACTCGAGCGACCATATTATCTCATTGGTGATTTGCTCGTACCTATTTCGATTCGTGCCTCTTTTAATGCATCTCTCCAGCTGTCGCTTTCTTAGTGATTCATGTGTCTTGCCACATCAGCCACATATATAAATCCACGTGTAATACTTATTTTTACCAATACAATTTAGACTCCAGAGTTTGTCTTCAAACCTCCAGCCTCTTGTTAACACCACTTCGCGTCTCGTTCATCAGAACTATGTCATCTGCAAATAACATATACCATGGTACCTCCCCTTGAATGTATCACGTCAATGCATCCATCGCCAAGGAAAATAAAACGGGCTAAGCTTGATGCCCGATGCAACCCCATCACAACCGAAAAGTGTTCTAAGTCTCCTCTTGTTGTCCTTACCCGTGTCTTAGCTCCATCATACATGTCCTTAATTACCCTAATGTAGGCTACAGGCACACCTTTAGCCTCCAAACATCTCCATAGAACCTTTCTCGGGACTTTGTCATATGTTTTCTCTAGGTCAGTGAACACCATATATAAGTCATTTTTCATTATCCATACTCCTCCACTAATCTTCTCACAAGATGCATGGCTTCTGTAGTCGGTTGACCCGGCATAACATCGAACTGGTTCTCGTAAATAGACACACTCCTCACCACCCTCCCTTCTGCCACGCTCTCCCAAACTTCCATCATATGGCTTAGCAGCTTGATACCCCTATAGTTGTTGCAATTTTAGATATCACGATGTTCTTGTACAACAGAATCATCATACTCCACCTCAACTCTAAAATGACGTTAAACAACTCAGAGAGACATTCCAAGCATGTCCTACCCGCGCTCTTCCAGAATTCTGCAGGAATATTGTCTGGCCCGATCGCTTTACCCCTACTCATCCTACGCATAGTTCCCTCGACCCTCCCAGTCCTATGCGCTTACAGTACCAAAAATATATATTTTAGACTAAAAAGTTTATATCTTTCTTTCTTAAACTATTTAATGAAATATTTGTACATAAAGTGAAACGAAGAAAGTACATATTTTACATATATTGGTTCGAAATAACCGTTAATCATGTTTTGTCACAAGAACTATTGTTACGTATGTCAGTGTTCTAGCTTCGGGTTTTATCATTAAAAACTGAACTTTACCTAGACAGAATATGCTGACACTTAAAACAAAAAGCAGCTTTTATGATCTCGTGCTTATTACTTTGTTTTGTTTGTGCGCTTAAAGAAAGTACGTAAAATTTTGCGTCGTCCAAAAACTGGTGGAGAAATGAGCAATCTCCTTTTTCGTTATGGCATAAGAAAAAAGTTATCACTTCCCTTCCAAACGGTCAACAAAACCAAGAGCCAATTCAAGGGCCAGAAATTCCTAGACATTTTAGCACCAAAGCCAAATGTGACCAATAATTATCAAAAATATCTTAACCTCATTGAGGACTTTCTTCAAACAGATTCTGAACAAAATTGTACAAAACACGCATTGCATAAACAACTGTCTTTTCCATATTCAATGGAAGATTCAATCTCATTGCTTTTTAAGTTTCATAAAGAAGGGTCTAAAAATGGGGTGAGTATATTTTCAAATGCTATGTGTTTATGTGCATCAAAGAGAGATTTTAGGGTAGGGATTCAAGTTCATTGCTTGGTGATTGTAAATGGGTTTTTGTCCAATGTTTATATTGGCAGTTCTTTGATCACATTTTATAGCAATTTTGGAGGAGTGGTGGATGCTTACCAGGTGTTTGACGAAATGCCTGTGAGGAATGTTGTGTCTTGGAGTGCTATGATAAATGGTTTTGCACAAGAGAATGAGGTCGATATGTGCTTGAAATTGTATAAGGGTATAATGGGCTTGACATTGAAACCTAATGAGTTCACGTTTACGAGCTTGCTGAGTTCGTGTATGGGTAGTGGGTGTTTTGGTCATGGCAGGAGTGTTCACTGCCAAATAATTCATATGGGTTTTGACTCCTATATACATGTCGCAAATGCCCTTTTATCAATGTATTGTAAATGTGGGGAAGTAAAGGGTGCTTTTCTCATTTTTGAAAGTACGAAGAGCAAAGATTTGGTATCATGGAACTCGATGATTTGTGGATATGGACAGCAAGGACATGCAATTCAAGCTATTGAACTTTTTGAGGAAATGAAGAAGCAAAAAGTAAGACCTGATTCCATTACTTTCCTTGGGGTGTTATCTTCTTGCCGCCATGCAGGTTTTGTTAAAGAAGGTATGTTTTACTTTAATTCAATGGTTGATTACTGTGTGAAGCCAGAGCTGGATCATTATTCATGTATTGTAGACCTTCTCGGACGAGCACGGTTACTAGAAGAGGCTCGGGAGTTTATCAAGAAGATGCCAATTCAGCCAAATGGTGTCATCTGGGGTTCATTGCTTATGTCGTGCAGGCTTCAGGGGAACTTTTGGTTGGGCATCGAGGCTGCAGAGAATAGGCTTGCGCTGGAACCGTGGTCTACCTCTACCCACTTGCAGCTGGTAAATTTGTACGCTAGTTTAGGATACTGGGATCAGGCAGCGAGAGTGCAGAAGTTGATGAAAGACAATGGACTTAAAAGGGATCCTGGTTATAGTTGGATTGAGATAAACAGTCAAGTTTTTCGCTTTACAGCTGAAGACATATCGACGGGACATATTAAATCAATTGGTAGTTTGGTGGATATTTTGGTGGATCACATGAGTAACTTTGGTGTAGAAGAAATTTTGCTTTGATATGAGCCAAATTCTTCTTGGCATATATCAGGGATAACCATTTTGACTTGGGACAACAGCATGAGTACAAAGAAATTGTTAAAAAAATACCTTGAGCTTAATTTAACTCCAAAAGCTAGTTCATTAGGCGAAGATTGCCGAAGACTGTATAAGAAGACAACAGGTAATTCCCAAGACCATATAAGAACACAATAGGTAATTCCCTCAATCCATATGAGCCAGTATTTGGAGCATGCACAACATAACACGGAGGTCCAACATTGGGTAAACAAAGAATAGAGATGGATTACTAAAAGGACAGCCCGGTGCATGAAGCATCCTGCATTCACGCAGGGTCCGGGGAAGGGCTGTACCCTAAGGGATGTGATGCAGGCAGGCTACTCTAATGCAAACATCAGAGGCCGACTTTAATACTATGTTAGGAAAATAAATCTTGGACTTAACTCAACTCCAAAAGTTAGCTCATAAGGTAAGGTTTTCAAGAGCATAGTAGGAGACAATTGGTCATTCTGTCAAGCGTATTCATCCCAAGAATAGTAATGTGTAGTAGATATGAGATTCTTGCACTGGTATGAAGCAGATTCTTCTTGGCATACATCATGGATGACCATTTTGAGAACAACTGTATGAGTGCAAAGAGATGATCCTATTCTGTCAAACAGATATTCATGCTTCATAGTACCCAATACAGATATACAAATGGCTAAAATTGTGGCAAACTTAGTGAGAGGATCTAGTATTGTTTTACAATACAGTCAATTTCAATTGAACCCTTCCGTATAATGCTACATCCTCCCCTTAGCAACTGCAGGCGCTTGTTTTCTCTTCTTGATGGATAGCCTCTTTTTCTACGGTCAAGAAAAATCAGCGTGAAGACGGTGAGTTAAGATACCAGAAGAATCGGGGTATATATATATACATACACACACACACTAGCTCGCCTGGAATAAGATAACCTTGAAGAAAATTGGGGCCAGGAGGAGGATATTGCTTTCTCCATGGATCATTCTTTCTGAAAACGGTCTCTTTATTTATGAACTACTTTAGGTTGAGATACTGTATCCTCGAAAACCAAAAAATTAGAAATGAGAGTAGTGCAAAAAATGAAGATGACACGGTCAAGCAACTGCAGGCTCAGTTTGATCTTCCTGGTCCAGCTTTAATAGAGAAGGCCAGCGACCAAAGATGCTTTCCACAAGTCTCATTTCATCCCAGCTATTTGTAGCTTCAGACTCTTGCCTGACATGGTAATTATAGGCATCATCCTTGTCTCCAGCATTCAATTCTCATAACCACCGATTACCTATGGAAACAGGCTGTGAATCATCGGCATAATGGCAGCCATGCTGTATTACTTCACCTGTGAACAAGTCATCTGATTTCTCGGGGTTGTTTACATAACTAGGTACAAAATCATCTTTGCAGGTGCCAACAAAGTAGGATACAAAATCCCCTAGCCAGTTTGTTGTTCACCCCATCATTGTAGGGCAAGAGTCCATTTCCATAGAAGGTGTTTGTTGAAAAGTGAGTCTTCTTCTTCCTTATTCCCCCAAAATTAAAGCTGTTGTCCTGATAGAGTCTGTCTTGATTGGACGGAAGTGGCTCCCCGTAAGGGCAACCGTCGCCATAGCTTACGTCATACCAAGTGAGGTGATAAGACTCAAAGGAGTCACATTCAAGCTCACTGAGTGCTGAACTAAAATCACACATGAGAAGATCACAGAACTCAAGGAGTCAATACTTCGCTACACAAACATGAAATGATGGGTTCTTGCTTCTGCTGAAGATGTTCTGCTACTTATTTAATCAACAAAAAGAAGAAAAAGAAGGAAGAGAATCTGCTGGTGCAGAGAGTATGGTCTATGGTTCTACCTATCAGAAAAACAGGACATGGTCTGTAATTCTGATGCTTTTTTTTTGTTCCACTGTATTTCTGATGCTCGCCTATCAATTATCTACTACAAAAGGGTAAAAAGTTTCACGAGTCGCCCTATTTGGTCACCCCCATTTAACTTGTACCCATTTTTTTTAAAAAAAGTTTGACTGATACCCAATATTTGGGTAACTTGAGATACACTTTTAATTTCTTCTTTGTTGTTGCTTTCTTCTTCTTTGTATTCATGTCTCATGTATACTAAGGCTGTATTGTGGGCTGGGCCCAGCCCGGGACAGCCCCGGGCCCGCGAGATCACGGGCCTAACGGGCCGGTTCAAACGGTCTTTAAGGCCCACAGTGGGCCGGTCCTCTATAAATAGCCCGCGAGCCCGGGACCATTTAGCCCGTGACCGGCAAGCGGGCCTGGGCTGGTTTAACCGGGCCTAACGGGCCCAACGGCTTTTTTTTTTTAAAAAAATAAAATAAAATTTAAAAAATTGGCCAATGGTTTTATATTTAAAAACTAGCCGTTGGCCTGCCAATTGAGCCGTTTGGCTTTTTATAAAATAGCCATTTGGCCCCCAAACTTTGTTTTAACCCCAAATTTTTTATAATTACACTTTTTTCCTATTCTTTACTATAAATACCTCTTCATTCTTTCATTTTTACTCACAAAATCATCAATCTCTCTCATTTCTCAAACTCAAATTGAAGTATTCAAGTCTTCACTCATTCTCAAACTCAAATTCTTAATTCAAGTTAAATCATGCCCGGTGATTCTAGATTGCACCCATTTGTTTTGGAACACTTTAATGTGGTAGAAGAAAATGAAGAAGTTTACATAATAAAGTGCAAGAACTGTGGTCGAGTCTACACTCGTCGTCCAAAGGAGGGCACAGGCTCTTTAAGGAGGCATATAAAGAGTTGTCTTGCGCGTTCTCCAGACATTCGTATTTAAGATTTTAAGTTGATTTGAGACAATTTGTGTTATTTTAAAATTGTTAGGCGTATTATGCTTAATGTTTTAGTTTGTTAGATTAATTTGAAGTATTGTGTTGAAGCCTTGAAGGCATTGAACTTTAATTTGAAGTATTAAATGTAAACTTTAATTTGCAGCTTTGATACCGAGTTCATCTTAATATATATATATATATATATATATATATATATATATATATATATATATATATATATATATACAATCTTATATAAGGCAATATACTATATACGGCAATTTCTTGTAAATTATCTAAATTATATAGTATAGATATAGATATAAATTATATACTGTATCTATATCTATATCTATAGCTTATATACGGCAGTCCTATAAGTATGCTCTTTAAAAATTTGAACCTGCCAATATCTAGATTTTAAATCAAAATTTGAAAATATATTGGCATCATATAATCTAGATAGCAAATCTCTTTTATTGGGGATAGGATACCTAATCCATTTTAAATATTAATATATATATAATATATATATATATATATATATATTACAAGAAAATGCCTTAGATAAAAAAATTTCAAAAAAAAATAGCCCGGACCACTTAGGCCCGTTTAGGCCCGTGGGCCCGGCCCATTTAGCCCGGGACCATGTAGGCTTAGGCCCACAGCGGGCCGGTTCCATCCCTTGGGACCGTTTGGCCCGGGACCGCCAGAGCCCAGCCCGCGTAAGCCCAGGCCCGTTAGGCCCATTTAGGTCCGGGGCCGGCCCAGAATACAGCATTAGTGTATACAAAGAAGTTGAGCTTGAGCTTTTGCTACTTTCTTCTTCTCTGTATTCATGTTCCATGTATCCAGGAGCCGTTTGGTATCTTCTTAGTTGCAAAATATCATTGTAGGTCGTGCTTAGAGTTTCTTCTTCTTCTTAGTTGCAAAATGGGTTTGTTAGAATTGTTATTGTTTTGACAATTTGATGATTGGGGTTTGTGCTTTATAATTTTTGGGAGTTATGTTTCAAATTTGAGCTCATTTGGAGTAGATTTGGGTGTTGAATCGTGTGTTTGATTGTTGAAATTCGAAGAACAAGTTTATGTTTTATAACTTAAGATCCGATTTCTGAAGTTGCATTGGAAAGATAAAGAAATTAAGATCGGATTTCTAAAATTGCATTGAAGATGTAAGACTATTTAAGATTCGATTTTTTGAAGTTGCATTGAAGAGAGAAGAACTTCATATCCGAGTGGGTAAATTTTACAAATTTGTGTGTAATGCTTTTCATAACCCCAATACATTTTGTATGCATATACTAGAATAGCATGATAAAAATCAAAGATTATGTCCAATTTGAAGCGATCTCAATTGATCCCCTTATTCCCGACATGCTATGGTACCCCGGAGTGGGTAGGAGCGGGTCGAGTCCGTATCGCCGCGGAGCAACAGCCGCGTCCGGATCTGATCTAAGAGATGCAGCATTACGAGCTATTCGTCGAAGTGGTATACTATTAACTTTCGTACGGGATGTAACTCCTATGCCTTCCTTATTCTTGAAGAATGAGGGGCAAAGGGATTGATCAAGAAAGATCTTTTGTTCTTCTTATATATAAGATCGTGATTGGATCCGCATATGTTTGGTAAAGAGAATAATCTTATCCTTTGAGAATAATCAAACGAAAGAGAGTGAGATGGAATCCAGAAGAGATAAGGCATTAGGCAATCTTTCTAAGAAATTTCAGTCATCGATTGACTCCTATTCCCACTTCTTAGGAGTGAAAGGCTGGTCTTGAAGAGCCTAGGTTCACTCATGACTTAGTGTGAAAGACCGGCTCAGTTACAAGCAAGAAATAATAATGAAGAAACGAAATTATACAATTTTTTTGATTTTGCATTTTTCATTTTTATAGGGCTATACGGACTCGAACCGTAGACCTTCTCAGTAAAACAGATCAAACTTATTATTATTAAAATGATCTGAACTGTTTCAAAGACCCAACATGCATTTTTTTTGCATTGGGCTCTTCTGAATCAGATAGATTCATATCTGAAAGAGGTTGACAATAAATTCTTTCAAAATTGACTATTTGTCCCTCTGTTAGAGGTGTTCCAGAAAGGTATAGCTTTAATGGAGGCCCCAAAAGTGGGTATAATGTGAACTTCCCCTACCATAGGCATGCTTGAAATAAAGTTATGTCAACTACGCCATAATTCCAAAGTAGTTGGAGTCAACTGTATGAATCATCTATTGAGGCATCTCATCAATGAATAAAGATATACATTTCATTAGGGGGTGTACATGGACCAGGTTGGTTTGGTTTTAATACCATTTATATAGGTTCGGATTGGTTCGGTTTTGTCGGATTTTTCGGGTTTTTTTCTTACATGATAATATGTCAATCTTACTTTGTTAATTTTTTTATAAGTAAATATATGCTTAATAAAAATTGAAAAAATTAACAAACATATGATCTATTAAAATATTCTTATGGGAGAATTTCTTAGTAACACATGATAATTATTTTTTAGTTGTCTGACAATAAATTTCGTTGATGTACGCTTTCAAAGTTAACCGAATTCAATAATTAAACATAAAAATCAATATGATACCTAAATAATGTATGTACTATTTAGTTTTCAACATCGAAATACCACTTCAAATTCAAAAAAGATATAAGAATATAATAGATCTTGACATATGAATATGAAAAAACAATGACGCATTTCAATAACACTTGATAAGAAATATATCATACAACACATTATATAAAGTTAATGAAAATGGAGCACTTCCATATTCTATTAAATATTACATCCCATTAGAGAAACCCAAATATTTCCAGACATTTTTAAAGAAAATTCTACATAAAGTCTTAAAAGTATATATAAAAATTATATATTTATACATCGATTTGATCCGGATTTTTTTACTCAATACCAAACCAAATCAAACCAAACCTCATCGGGTTTTTTAATTGGTTTGGTTTGATTTTTCGGTTTGGTGCGATTTTCCGGTTCGATTTGTACACTCCTACATTTAATACACCAGTCATAATGTACCACACTGCTCTTTTATTCAAGTTTGGCATTTGTTTATGCTGCCACACAAAGCTGGTTAAAATAAAAGTTATTGCTAAAGAAATTTTGATTTCTTGCTGATTAAACAGGTATATTCGGTTTACCTACTTTTACTCTTTTTGGATGGAACCTGTTTAAAAAGGCAAACTACATGACAAAGGGAAAAGAGAAAAGTTGAAGGACAGGATTAGGTATCTGATTTTGGGAAGGCGCTGAATAGCTTGCAAAAGCATCTTATTCTATTGAAAAAAATCCTACGCATGGAAAAGGGGCAATTTTATGGGAATTGTCCTAACCATTTTTCGGGTTCGAGACGTGGAAACAGCCTTTTGCAGATATGCAAGGTAAGGCTGCGTACAATAAACTCTTGCGGTCTAGTCCTTCCCTGGACCCCGCGCATAGCGGGAGCTTAATGCACCGGGCTGCCTTTTTGTCCTGACAAGACGGGCAGCTGAGATGAAGAAATAACGGTAGCATAGGTTCAGATACGGACATAAGGAATATTCCCTTGGATATTCCTTAATTTGTACTTTTTAGGGTTTCTGGGAAATATCTCTTATAAATAGGAAGAGATAGAGAACAAAGGTGGGGATCTTCACTTTACGAGAAAAAACACATTGTAAAAGGTTGACCTGAGAGAATATACAACAGTTGTCTTGTTCATTGATTATCCTATTCAACCATACGTTTTTGCTTCTTTGTTCACAAGGTCCGAAGATTCCTCAACCCTCTTTATTTCTCTTTTCTCCACGCTGCTGTCAGGGAAAAGAGTCATCCAAGTCTTACAATAATTGGGTGGTAGATTCCTTTTTGTTATATTCATTGTCATTATCTACATTCAATGCACATTTATATTCTTGCATTCATGAGCATTTAATCGGCACAAACACACTGATTAACGTTGTTTATCTTACCGACTTCATATAATATTTGATCTAGATTTTATTATTCTTAACTAAGATTCACCCTTCATCTCATCATTAATTGATTTAACTGAAAGGTTTAACACTTTTTGGTCAAACATACAAATCTAAGACTGAAGATAGCTATCAACGCAGTTCCAATTATATTGAGTATCATGCATTTAACAATTATATTAGGGTTCTTTTCTATCAAGTCAAAAGGTAATCTTTCACACTCAAGCTAATTGGATTTATCTATTTCATGCCAATACAGATTCTTTATTTGTGTATCCGCTCTTCCGGGTGGATGAGTTTCCAGTATAGTTTCCTTTGTTGAAACCTGTTCCACAAGTATCTGATGACATTCCAGCTGAGAAGTAGAAGTCACCTGAAAACCTCTGTATGTAGTAGGATCTGGATGACAGAAGGTCAAATTCCAAAGTATCATTGACTGTCTTTGAAAGACATTATTGAGAATCGAAAAATCCCAGCAGCAGAAGTATGGAGATAATCATGAGTTCCTTATTGTATTTGTAAGTTGCCTTGACAAGCTGCATGAACATAGTTACGACAGTACAACAACAACAACAACAAAAAAAAAACCAGTGAAATCCCACAAATGGGTCCGGGGAGGGTAGCGTGAAAACAGTCCTTACCCCTACCTTCTTATGAAGGTAGATAGACAAGTTACGACAGTACAGAACTTTAAAGTAGTGCGAAGAGCAGCTACATATAGGTAAGACAGTGACCACAAAACATTTAGCCTGCTAACGAACTTAAGGACACAAAGATGAATAAAATTATAATATGTTACAACAAAAAATCTGGTGAAAATTGGCCATACAATGAAATCTGACATTACAAACATAGGTGTCTACTCGTAGACGCTACTGTATCCTTATATTCTACAATTCTATAGAGAAGATCCCGTGCTAACTCACCAACATCTACAGTCTATATTTATCTCACTTACTAATAAGTTGCATATTATATCTTCTACCGAAAAGTCTCCAAGTCTTTGATTTGTGCTTTACATCAGATTTCGAGTATTCCAGATTCAATTGCAGCGCACCAGTTCATTCTGCAAGCATAGAACTGTTCAGGAAAGAACATTATATTATCTGACAACTATAACTGATTCATCGATCTGCCTAGCCACTGCAATGGGCTGCAACCACTGATCGAAAGGAAAAACCACCAAAATGATTCACCTGAAACTCATAGAATATAAAACTGATTTAAGATCCTACAATTTCTCATGTCAATACCAGTAGCTTGAGATACTAGAGATACTAGCAAATTATCAATTTTGGTGGCATTTAAATATTTGAATGTCCTAAATGTTCTACAACTATTTGAATCATATTGTCGCAACATCAGACAAATCTTGATTTTGCAGAAGTGATTATAGCAGAGAATAAAAATGTTCCTAACTTGAGTATATCAATAAGCTAGTTGAAATCTAAGGACCTATCTAGACAACAGTAAACAGAATCAAATGAACATGGATATCAAATCTAACAATCAAGGAAGTTGCCCCATAACTTATTCATTTGGACGATATATTTCTCTCTTAGTAACCTTGTTTGAATGTATCACTCATTCCAATGAAATAATAGCAAGAACATTTTTCACCAACTTATTTCCTATTCTGGTATCTTACTTATTTTCTTAATTAGGAACTAAGTATTAGAAAAGAAAAAACAGGTTGCATGGAGGGAACGATATATTATCTGGTTTACACTCTAAGAAACTCAAACTGTAGTGCTTATGCCGTAGTTCAGAATAATATGAATAGATTACAGAAGAAAGAGAACATTTAAAGGCGCGAGTGCAGCAAAATGTAGTTTGAGGTGATTTAAAGTGAAATTTTCTGTTTAGTTTTCAGTTAAAGGTTTTATTGAGTCTTGTTTTATAAAGTACAGTATCGATGAAAATATAAATCAAGAAAATGATGGATGAGATTGAAACATTGACCAAGTAAAGAAGGAATAGTTACTAATGTTCCTTTTATTTATAAAGTACTAATAGTGTATTGATGGTAACAAAGGTACCATTTCTATATGAAGTACTAATAGTTTGTAGATGGTTACAATTGTCGCTTGAATCTCTGTTCTTCATAGTTGATGCACTGATTCTATCTTTCTTTCTATCATTTCTAAGGACACATATAGCAACACAAATTTCAAAAGCCAATACTTGAAAAATCAAATTTCATATCTATCACATGTGCATCCTACTGGTAACAGGCAAGGACAAAATTACGGAGGTTTCACTGTAAATAAAAGATTTTGAAGAACTCGTGGCATAACAACAATTAAGTGAGACATAGTTCAGTGAATGATCGTCTGAATTGGAGCAATGAACTAATGCCTGACACTCAAAGTGTGTGCTCAATGAATGCATTAATGAGCACACATACAGTTGTGTATAATACCATTTATAAACCGAAGAAAACCAATTAGGAAGAAATTAAAGAGCAAAGTGATCAGATTCTATTTTTTACCTGATGAAATACCGCTGTCACGCACATCCAAAAAGAGGAAAGAGAATTATACCGAAAATTTGGTATCCGTGAAGACAGTAAAAAGAACACCTGGTCACTTGAGCACCTTGAAATAAAACCTAGTGCACCAAAGGAAAATAGAAGCAACCGTAGGAAACGGAATGCAGAGCTAAGTTGAACTCCATACTGCAGCATTGTAATTCTCCAACTCTTTTGAGCTTGATCCATATATCGCTTTAATTGTGTCTACGCAAGAACTGCAATCACGACATGTTTATAATCAAAACTCTAGTATCAGACAGAAATTTAGTGGTCAAGACTCAAGACTTTCACAAAGTCTATAGGCAACGAGTAAATGAGCAACATCAATGGATTACCTGCAAGCTTCTTTGTTGAACTTTTTCTCTTCAATCCCATACAGTGTCTCAAAGATGGCTGGTTCCACCCGACAAAAATATGGACGATCTAAAGCAAAGAGAAAAACAAATGATTCTAAGAAATCCACTCATATGAAAAAGGAAAAACTAAATCGTTAGACACAAATACTGAAATCTCCAAATTCCATTTGGAAAAGAAGGTTTCACCTGCATAAATGGAGCATTTTCTTGTGCTCTTCTCCAAATGTATGCACCATCCGTCAGATCCCACCATGCTGTTGAATAACTGAGAAGTAAAATCCACATATAAAGCTTCATATAATAGTCTTTTCATTTTGGATGGCCCAAAATATTGACACGAACGTACTAATAATAACAATCTTTCAATTTTGGACATTCCAAAATATTTTAAACAAATCTACTGATAACGTTATTCTATGTAAATATAACAGCTTTTATGAACTCAAATTCATTTAACCATTCAACTCTTAAAATCAACTGTTATGTTTCTGTCTTACTAAATTCAATCATATCTTATCACTTTTTCTCTACTACTACCACAAATATTACACATAAATCGAATTGACATAAAAAGATCCATGTCCACACAAATACCATATAAAAAATGAAAAATGCAGTATAAACCATCATATTCATGACATCCATGTCCATACAAATACCATATAAAATACGAAAAATGTAATATAAACCATCATTGATAAAGTTTTCTATTAGACACTTCCAGCTCAAACATTGGAAAAGCTTTGGTGCGTGTTCTCAAGCACCCATTACGTGGATATGTTTAACCACTAAAAATATGCTACTTTCTTTAATTATACACATCGGATATAAGCCTTTGCTATAACAAAAAAAAAACAAGACAGCTCAGTTGAAAAAGAACACAATTAACTAAATAAAATCTCCCTCCATTAGACAAAAGACTCGCTTCGTTAAAAGAAAAAAACCAAGAGCCATTTTTCTCAAAATCTCCCCAACAAGTGTCTAATAGGAACACTTTATCATTTGTTCAGATGCTCAAATGGAACAGTCCTTAGTTCGAGTGTTTAAATAAAATATACTAACAAGTTTAAGGAGTTGTCATTTTGTCAATATATTCAAACAAATACTATACAAATTACGACAACATAAAACCCACATAATTTAAACTCAAAATAATGAGAGAAAAAACCTCAATATCAGAAGGGTCATCAAAAATTTCTTCAGGGGAAGGAAAGTTGGGGCCTTTATCAAGTTTACAGCATGCACCACAATACTGCACGCACTGCCACGTTGGTTCTTTATTCCTACTGTTAAAGCCTGACGTTGTTTTCTTGACGGTGGCCGGTGGTACGCTGGGATTGGTAGTGGTTATCTTTTGCTTAACATTCTGGGGTTTAGGGTTTGGTCTGAGTCGTGGCTGCTTCGCCGCCGAGAGAACGGTGGCGAAACGCGGCAGAGCCCCCGCAGCTAGTGAATGAGGCATTGGAATTCTTATGGATTGACTGGGCCGTTGGCGCCACATAAAATCGGGGAAGTGCATAAATAGCCGATTTTGGGACCCCTATTTAAACTATGGCCTAAGTTCATAAATTATTACAAGTCTAGCCACTTCAGACGGAAGTTTTGCTTAAATTTGAAATATTATTTGTGCAAAAACTTCGGAACATACATCAACTAAGAAGAAGAAAAGCGAAGGAGGAACACTTTTATTCAAAGTTTGATTTCACTAACTACCAATTAATTTTTTTTTTTTGAATAAACAAATATAGATTAAATGGGAGCGTTTAAATTAATATGCTTTTTTTTCATATTTTTTTGTTTTTGTGAATATGAAAAATTTAACAATTTACAATTTTGTACAAATATTGATAGACAGTCCCATAAAAAATTTATCATAAAATTTCTTAAGCAATCATGGGGCAAGTGCACAGATAGTTATTTTCGGAGATGCTATTTAGAGATTAGCCAATACGCATTTTCCTGAAATTTTAAACTAAAAATCGTAACATCATGACATTTTTCTCCTGAAAAATTGAATTGAAAAATTAAAATTCAGGATACACTGGCTAATTTATAAATAGCAGCCCTTTAAAATGGCTACATATTGCTCAATTTTTCTACAACAATATCTTGATGGGGAGATTTTTTAAAAATAGCCAGATTTACAACTGGTCCGTTCAAAAAAATAGCCAATTTCAAGTAATCGAATTTAGCTTTTTATGTAAAGATAAATCTGAGCGAAGACACTGTTCAAAACCCGGAAAATACTCCAGTATATTGTGCTGGAGTTCCAGCATAAGTATGCTTGAACTCCAGCATATTATACTGGAGTTCCAGGATAAGTATGCTGGAACTCCAGCATAATATGATGGAGTTCCAGCATAAGTACACTAGAACTCCAGCATAATATACTGGAGTTCCAGCAAGTATAATTGTCCAGTATAATATACTGGAGTTTGGAGCACCGGTGCTCCAGTCTCCAGTATATTATACTGGAGCCAGCAAAGTATACCGGTCCAGCATAATATGCTGGGGTTCATACACAGGTGCACCGAACTCCAGTATATTATGCTGGACCGGTCTCTGTTGCAGCAAAACGGTAGCTATTTTTCATTGACTTGGTAAACGTTGGCTATTTTTGATTGACGAGTTCGAAAACTGGCTATACGGTGAAATTTTGCCCACTCATCGCCTTGGAATGTTGGAAATATTGGCCCAATATATTTGTGGTGGATTTCGATTGCAAGGAAATTGGTGATTGGTCTGTTTTTTAAGGGAGAACGACAAAACCAAGATACTTTTTGTGCTATTGTTAATTTTTTGACCCTGGTAACAAAAGTTATAGAAAAATAGTATGGCTTTAGATTTTAAAGCACGCTCGCTAAAATTTCAGCAAGATATGATAATTGTCGGGATTTGTAGCGAAATCTTGACGATCACCACATTTTTCGGCCACAATGCTGAAAACATTTGGTGATCACCAAATTTTTTTACCATAAATCATGACAGATCACTAGAATTTTTCAGCATTGTAACCTTTTTCCTAGTTCTTCAAAATTCTGACTGGTGTGCTTCAAAATTCTTGTCGGAGGCTATCTTTTCAAGACTTTTCTTAACGGGTTCAAATTTTAAACAGTAGTCATAAAAAAGTCTATCCGGCATACTTTTCAGGTTTTTGTTATTTTGAACATACTATTGAACAATAGAGAATCTTGTGTGCAAATATTCAAAGTTATTTTGTTGGGGAGATGAAATCGGTAAATAAACACAGGAAATATTAGTAAAATTATTTTCTTTCAATTAGATTGTAACTGGTCATAGCAAATTATTTCCTCATTTTATGTTCTCCTCTTTGGCGCATAGTGTAGGTTTTACTACGAGTATTGTATGGCACTAGCAAAATCACCAAAGGAATTGTTATTCCATTTTACTTCTGCGGCGAATTGACTTGTAGCTTGTCTGACCGAGCTTTTCCAAAGTTGAAAAGTATTTCTTTTCAAAAAAAAGTATTTTTTTTTCAAAGTTAAAGTATTTGACCAAATTTTTAGGAGGATTTTTTGAGAATTTTTCATAAAGTACTATCTTTTAGGTGTAATTAGACATTTATAGATACCTTTTGCTATATTACGTATTATAGATACATTTTATGTGGTTATGAGATGTATTTGATGTATTTAAGCTATTGTATTCATTAATACAATAGCAAAAATAGGCATGAAAAGGGGAATTCCAGCTAAGCTTGATATGTATTCGACTGTATTCACGCGGCCTTATCGTGAATACAGTAACGTATTTCGCGTAAAACCTAGAAGGTTGAACTTGTTTAAAACGTAAAGGAAATCAATTCACCTGATATTCTCCTAATTTAACTCAACTAACAAAAACTATTACCCATTAATCTGTATTCCTCCATTCACGATTCAACAAGAAAAATAGCGAAAACAAGAGCAACATCTGGAATTTGAGTTCTCCCTTTTCTCTGTACCCAGTTCTCATTTCAATCAAGCAAAAGTGCGATTGATACAATAGTATACAAAATACGGTATAATTCCATTATACATATGGCAAGCTTAACAGTGTTGTTGCGTCATTCTGGCAAGTGGAACGATGAGAGCAATTACGAAGATTTTTCAATTGAGGGAATACTGATAAAGGAGTATGCGTCGTATAATGATTTGGTTGCGTCAACTTCTAATCAACCGGGCATAGATTTGAGCACAAAGTCCATTAAAATTCAATACAAAGTAGAAGGGAATAGCACGCCAATGGAAATACACAATGACATGGGTTACAGGGTGTATGTAGAGTTGAAAAAAGAGAACAGAGAATTCGGGATGTATCGTTTGTGCATAACAACGATTGAAAAAGAACTTGTATCCGGTGGTAGTTTAATTCAAGGCGATACTGTGCAAATAGATGAATCACTTCAAAGGTATGATTCCGGTACAGATGATACGCTTGCTCTAGATTTTGTCAATTCAGGAGAAGCAATGGGGGTGTTTGAACTGGACAAGGATTTGATAATTTCAAAAACTAATCAAAGGGAGGTTATGGTTGGACAAGTATATAAGGATAAGGCTACATTGAAAGAGGTGATGGAGAATTATGTTATATCTCAAAGGTTTCAATTCCGGGTTGATAGGTCTAATGCTGTCAGGTTTGCGTGTATTTAAATTATTATTTTTTGTATTTTGTATTATTTGTTGGAGTTGTAAGTTAAACGTTGATGTATTTATACGTATTTGTGCATTTTCACTTGATCTTCACTGATGTGTTTAACATCTGTTTGTTTATGGTCTTTAAATACATGTATTCATATGTATTTTACTGGTATAATTACATTACAGTGTCTCTAGTTATTTTCCTATTTTGTTGACTGTTTTTTTAAGTGTACGCATATAACTATAATTGTATACAGTTGTATTCATTGTATTTAAATGCATATAACTATAATTGAATTCAGTTGTATAATAATTTATATATATAGATGTCAGAATGTATTCATGTCAGATTGTATTCATGTGTATATGAGTGCATTTTTAGTAAACATTTATGATAATCATATGTATAATGATAAATTCTTTGTAGCTATGCATTATTATGTATGTCAGAAGATTGTGAATGGAGGTTTAAGGCTTCAAGCATTAACAAATCAGAACTATTCAAAGTGAGAGAGTTCATTGATAACCATACATGTCCGCTGAAGGACAAGGTGTATGAGCAGCGACAGGCAAGTAGCAGCCTTATAGGTGGTATGATTAGGCCTAAGCTTACTAATCATAAGAGAAAATACACCCCAAAGGATATTATTGATGATGTGAAATCAGATTTAGGTATAGATGTTAGCTACATGTTGGCGTGGCGGGCTAAAGAAAAGGCAATGAATTTTTTGAGAGGTGAACCGGCTGATTCATACAAAAAATTACCAGGATACTTATATACAATGGATATGACATATCCAGGTTCCCACATCAGAATGGTAGAATCGCCCAAAAATGAATTCATGTATGTGTATATATCTTTGTATGCCTTTATAAAGGGGTTTGATCATTGTAGACCCATTGTGGTTGTGGATGGAAGTCACCTAAAATCTTACTACATCGGGACATTCGTTTCGGCAAGCACGTTGGATGGTGCAGGTGAGTACGTGAATTATAATAAATTCTGTTAATATTTTAAAGATTGAAATACGTGTTTTAAAAATATGTATTCAATTGTCTTTACAGGTCATATATTGCCACTAGCATATGGTGTTATTGATTCAGAGAACGATGCTGCTTGGACGTGGTTCTTTGAGCAATTCAAGATAGCATACGGTGACAGGGAAAACATGTGCATCGTTTCAGATAGAAATGAGAGTATCATCAAATCTGTATCGAGAGTGTATCCAGATGTACCACATTTTGCCTGTATATGGCATCTATGGAACAACGTATATAAGAAATTCAAAAAGAGCCATGCAAAGTTGAGCGAGATATACTTCTCGATGGCAAAAGCATACACACAAGGTGAATTTGACAGTCTGATGGAGAAGGTGGAGAAGGTAGATATTAGGGTGAAAGAATACTTGGAGTTAGCTAGATACGAAAAGTGGGCTAGGTTGTATGCACCTGTTAACAGGGGATGGACCATGACGTCAAATATTGTTGAGTCAATCAATGCCGCACTAGTGTCAGCTAGGGAATTGCCAATATACGACTTCCTCGAAGAAGCTAGGAAGATGTTTGGACGTTGGAATTGTAGTAACCGCAAAGAAGCTACAGGGACATACACAATGCTTGGGAAAAAAAATACTAGGAGATGTTGACTTTGAATGAGGCAATGTTTACACGCATGACTGTAAGTTTTATTTTAATGTCATTGTATTAGATAGCTTAATTATTTTCTGAAATAACTTATACAGAATTTTTTAGATAGACGTATTCAGTTGTATTGTCATGCAGTAGCCTTATAATGTTTTTGTTTTTTTTAGCTGCCTAAAGTTAAGCAGATTTTTGATGTAT